TAAAATATATTTCGGTGCAGATAATTGAATTCTGAATAATTCCAATTACTATTTACTCGGTGTACATATTTACATGTCTATTACGTAATTTTCGTTACAAAAATCTGCTTTTACATCGTCACTTGGAAACGTCACAGATATTCCTTTCATACTACATTCAATCTCATAGTAATTCGAAGGCCAGATCTTACATGACGTATCATATAAAATAATTATAATATCAAAGTGTGGGCTTTTTACTTGGCGCCGACGTTTCGAACGACCTTATAGAGTCATCCTAGATTTTATTATAATATATTATTTTTCTCTCACACGGTGATCTATTTAGAATAAAATATTTTATATGTTGGCGTATCTGGATGGATTAATGGTAGGTAAACGTCTCACGATGGAATAATTAAGAAAACTCTTAATGAATTGACAAAAAAAAATTGGTTAATTTATAGATAAGATTTGAATTAGATTCGAAAATATTGCTTATGCATGTGTTAACAGAGCCTAATAATTTGGTTCAACATAATTGAAAACATGAATTTTGAAAAAAATGGTATTTAAATTCATACGTTTCGTTTGTAGTCCTAGTTCTCATCCAGTAAAGCTTAAAAAAAAATGATATGCAACAATAAGGGATCAATACTGATCCTAATTGCTATTAGTTGGGTGGAGTGACTAGGGCGGATTTAAGTAAACAAATCTCTCTCGCAACCAATTTTATAAAATTATTGACAAAGAAAAGGATATATGGTGCACTATATATTTATATACAATCAAATAAAACAAAAGTGTAAAAATAACTTATAAAATGTAAGTGTGTTTAGTTACAAAATTTTATATTATTTCTCTGGTTTGCTAAGCAATATTAAAGCTAGGTTTATTGACTTTATTTCCCATTATTTGCTACGAATTTCCAACACTTTATTCAAAAAATATATTTTCACCACGTTTTTTTCTCTATATTAATTTTATTTTAGGCATTTCTGATAAAAAAAATCTATCTATAAATCCATAAGTATTCGTCCATTACAATATATAACGATCACGAAATATGATTTTAATATGCGACTCCATTTCACAAATTAAGATTTATAGAACAAGTTATAAGATCAAATGGCTGATTTTATTTTATGTGTGTAGGCTTGAATTTTGGCTATCCATTTACTGCCGACTTTCACACAGTTTTTATAACATAAAGATTATTATTGGTTATGGCGATGGATAATTCCGAGAACTGAGTCAATCAATACAGAAAACGTGTTCAACATATGTCGTTGCGTTATATGAACAATGCTGGCCTAGATTGAACAGGATCTAGGGACAATTATATATATATATATATATATATATATATATATATATAAATCTGGTACATAATTGCAGTACAAGTACCAGTTCAATTTTTATATAAACCAAATCAAAATCTAGTTTCAAACGTCATAGAAAACTTGTTCACCAGGAGCATTTATCCTGGAGAACGAGCCAAAATTTTAGTCAACGACGCCAACAGTCTAAAAATAGTTATAAAATCAGTATAAACATCAAAGTTATAGTAGCACACATATTAACAAATGGAAAAGTTATACGGACCTCAATGTTTTATATTTTTTCGAATGATGGTTCAACAATGGAGACCACAAACAAGCTCAATTCCATTTTAAACTCATGCAAGACAAATATTTGATTTTTGAATTGTTTTTAAAATATATATGAAAAAGTCAATGCCCAAAATACAAGTTGCTTACATTTGCACATGTCGATCCTTTCCATAGTTGCCAATCTCCAATTACTAACCAGTATCTTCGTCATAACAAGGTAGACTCATTTAAAAATCAACTTCGTAACTCCAAAGCAATGTTTTGATATGTATGAATGGGTCAACCTACGCCTCAATCATAATTATCAATAACCACGCACTTTTTGTTGATTATTCAAACTATTGCAAAACTTTCTAACCAAGATCTAGGTTCTCCAGATGGCTACGTCATGGTACTACAGGCGTTTGTGTTTATGAATGAAATTATGTAAGAATTCTGAAGTAGGAGCTTCTTGTAGGTTGATAGTGGTTCGGAAAAGGTTGAAGAACCTTTAGATGAAAATGTAAATATCAGAGAATGAGATTTTCCCAGTTTGGTAAGATCTGGCTTGCAGGCACTTATGGAGATTACTTAGTTCCACCCATAATTATAGGTGAAAACTCCGTAACTGAATATGTTGATATCTACTTTCAAACATTTATTTCGAATAGCTAATTTATTATAATGCATCTCCCTATGTTGGTTACTAATGTTACTATGAAGACAGTTCTTTCATTCACATTTAGTTCATTCATTTCTATTCATCTGAATCAATCTGAATGAAATCTTTTACAAATTTACAATTTACATAACAAATCTGACTGAATTCGAATACCGGAAAAAGTCTATTTCTCATTCCTTCACCGTTTTACGATTTTCAAATCAATGATTCTGAACTGAATCGAATTGTGAACGATACTGAATTGTAAATTAGAAACAGATATTGGAAACTTGGAAGATATAAATCTATTAGGACGTCAGATTTTATCCAAAATAATTTAAGATATTTTTTTTCAATAATTAGAATTTGAACCAAAAATTGCTACTAAAATTTGTCAATACTCCCCATTGCAAGATTTGTCGATTTTGTCAGATTGCTATAAAATGAAAAGTAGTAGTCGGAGTGGTCTAAAAATTCAGTGCCGATTTATTAAAGTCATAATATATATATACTTTTTGAATATTAGTCGAATCAGAGCAACTTCGGTTTTTAGCCGAAAAATTTGTCAATACTCCCGCATAGAGAAAATTGTCGATTTTGTCAGATAGCTATAAAATAAAAACTAGTTGTCGGAGGGGTCTAAAAATTATGTTTTATCAATAATGTATTTTTTCAAAATAGTTAAAAATATTAGTGTGATTACATTATTTATACCGAGCCGATAGTAATTTGTAACAATTTTCCAAATATATTATATTTTGCAATGTCCCATATGTAACCGGTACCTAATGCAAATGCACAACCTGAAACTATGCCTAATTTCAGGTTGAGCGTCAAATGACCGTACCGGTTTGTAGTGGGACACCAGGATTAAAACTATTTATTTACAGAACGAATTTTTGAAGAGTGTTTTGGTTTAAATAAAGCTTTCACGTAGTTGCAAATTACAAATTTTTTTGTTATATCATACTTCATCAAATTTTTAATCATTTTATGATTTTAATATATTAATTTTAAAAAATATAAATCCTCTTTTAGAAAATTATTTTTTGACATTTGGCGCTGCCATCCCTTTATCTTTTTATCATATATATTTTTTCAAGTATCTATCTTATTTTCCAAAGGTTTCCAAAACCTGCAATCTATTATCTAATGATTAGATAGTCATCTCGGATACTGTGATTTATTTAAATAAGTTTTACTAGAGAGATTTTTACGCATAAATACCTACAAATAAGCCAGATCTTTGAATGGACCATTCATTCTTCTGCACGTTACGCATATTTACCAACTTCCATTTCTCTTTTATAAATGGTATCGATTTTTGATCAATTAAAATAATTTACATATTCGTATATCTCTCATGTAAATTGTATCCAATGCATTTTGTATCCTTTATATTTTTTTCATCAGGATCTAGCAAAGTTACTATTATATGTAGAAATATTCGTGTCGTAACTTTTTCCGTGTCAGTTGGAAATAAATGATTCTAAATAACATACTGAGAGAGATTGTACTCCTCATTATTATTTGTCATTGGATATAATCATTCTAATTGCAGAACAGACTCAACTATTTTTCTGTGGCGTGTTTGGATCTTGTTTCAGATATTATGAGAGATTTTTTTTCAGTTGAACATAAATGTATATACATACATAAGCGTTATACATATATATGTGTATGTTTATTGATATTAAGAACAATCCTATAGTACTAGATTAGTATTAGATTAATATCGTATTCATTATTAAAAATGATATAAAATCAATTATTTTATTCATGTGTTTGTAATTCTATGAATTTCTATATATCCTTCCAATTCTATTACAAAAAACAAATTTCCGATTAATTTTTCCTATAAATCATTTTAACATAATTCTAATTTTGACACCACTTCTATTTAATGATCAAATCAACCTTGAAGAGTAGTATGGATTAATAATAATCTGGTATGTGTAATAATATAAAGGCGAACAGGTTTTTCTATTTGTGTTTTAAAATCGCTCCAAAATTATTCTTGTACTGTTTTTTCAATACGCCATCATGGTGTTATTGAACTTTTGTTGTGTTTTTTGCACAGGTACGAGGAAAAGGCGAATTTTTATATGTACAAGATGATGGTGTTAAATTTAACACCTGCATATCAATCGAATATTGGATTTAACAAAAGCATGCTAAAGATAAAACTTACATATTATGAAGTGTGAAATTTACTTTTCTGCTAATTATTCAAAATTTTTGCAGTGCACCTGCATGTTGAATTCAACCAAGGCACCTTTTGGTCCTTCTGTTTTTTTGTAAGCTCTCCTGAATTATTCTGGTCCTGGAGGACTTAATCAGCATTCTATCTGATTTTTGTGATTCTGTTTTACTATAGCAAAATATAAATAAATTTCTTTACCTGGTCCACTATCCAACCACTTCGATTTTTCCTTCGATTCTCGTAAAATAATTGCAAACGGATATGCATTATGCATTTTCTCCATGTGTTCAATTGTGCTTGAAAGCAACTGTAATTATACACACAATTAATAGTCCGTCAGCCGGCAATCATTTTTTTGCTGATAAGATATGTGTCACTTTTCTTATGTCAACTTCTACCTATACATGGGCAGATCATGTGAAAGCTCCCAATCGGTGGATTGAGGAAAGAGATAATGACTGTGTAGTTTTTGAAATAAATTTTTGAAAATTAGTTTTATTTGTTAATAATTTCTAGATTTTTGAGGCATTTAACTACAACAATAACACAATTTTTTATTTTTCAGTATGTATTGGAACGAACGGAAGAATGTCTGTTCCCTCGAACAGGGACCATCATTATCGCAACCTAAAAGATCGATTCACCAACTGCACTTACGTAGACGGAAACTTGGAATTGACGTGGTTACAGGACCAAAATTTGGATTTGAGCTTTTTGCAATACATTCGAGAAGTTACCGGATACGTTCTCATCAGTCATGTTGATGTCCCTAGAGTCGTTTTACCAAGGTAGATACTGATAATTGATACAGCATAAATATTTGATTTGATGTAAGTTATAAAATTAATTAATGCGATTTTTTTATTAGGTTGCAAATTATTCGTGGAAGAACACTTTTTAAACTCAATGTCCGCACAGAAGAATTTGCGTTGCTGGTTACATTATCCAAAATGATGACGCTCGAACTTCCATCTTTGCGTGATGTTCTCAACGGTGGTGTTGCTATGTTGAACAATTATAATTTGTGCCATGTCAAAACGATAAACTGGGAAGAAATTATGACAGCACAACCGAAGGCTCCTTATATTTATTCATATAATTTTACTCAGCCTGAACGATCTTGTCCTGCTTGTCACGAGAATTGTACAGCTGGCTGTTGGGGAGATGGTGAAGAAAATTGTCAGAAATTTTCAAAGACGAATTGTTCACCTCAGTGTTATCAGGTTAGTGATAATTAGATTATTTTCACTTTAATTTGTCTTTCATATAAATCTAAATATATCTAATTTATATTTATTACCAGGGTCGTTGTTTTGGTCCAAATCCACGAGAATGTTGCCATCTTTTCTGCGCTGGAGGTTGTACAGGTCCCAAACAAAGTGATTGCTTAGCTTGTCGAAATTTCTACGACGATGGTGTCTGCACCCAGGAATGCCCACCTATGAAAAGATATAACCCCATCACATATTCTTGGGAAGCGAATCCTGCTGGCAAGTACGCTTACGGAGCAACGTGTGTTCGAAACTGCCCAGATCATCTTCTGAAAGATAGCGGAGCTTGTGTGAGAAGTTGTCCTGAGAAAAAGAAGGCAGTCGATGGTGAATGTGTGCCTTGTGATGGCCCTTGTCCCAAAACGTGTCCGGCTTCCGAAAATATACATGCTGGGAATATAGATTCGTTTAAAGATTGTACTATTATTGAAGGATCTCTGGAAATTTTGGACCACACTTTCAAGGGATATCAACAGGTAAGAAGAAGTCTTTATATATTTCTAATTAATCAAATTATACTGAAGAGCTATGTTTATTTTTTTTTTAAATTTTTCTAGGTTTATGCCAACTTTAGCTTTGGACCACGTTACCACGAAATGCATCCAGACCGGTTAGAAGTATTCAGTACTTTGAAAGAAGTAACAGGATTTATTAACATTCAAGGGTAAGTTTTAATATTTTATTTAAACTGTCTAACTCAATGTACATATAAGTATAAATTTATTATTTTTATTTTAGATCACACGAAGCATTCACGAATTTATCGTATTTCCGAAACCTAGAAACTATCGGTGGCCGCCAATTAAAAGAAAATTTCTTTGCATCTCTTTATATCGTCAAAACTTCTTTAAAATCACTAGAATTAAAATCCCTCAAGCGCATCAATTCTGGTGCTGTAGTTATCCTAGAAAACAAGGAATTATGTTTTGCTGAAAACATTGACTGGAGAAATATTACCAAGAGTTCTGAACACAATCCGTTGTTGGAAAATAACAAGCCAAAAAGTGTTTGTCAAGCTGAGGGTCAAGTTTGTCACGAACAATGCTCCAGGAAAGGCTGTTGGGGTGCAGGTCCTGATCAATGTTTACAATGCAGTGCGTATAAGTTTGAAGATACTTGCGTCGGAAATTGCAGCGACATACCAGGGTAATTATAAATATCTAGAGAACTAAAAAAATATTTTAAATTGTTAGGAATTGTTTATAAATTTTTTATTTGTAGGGTTTATAATGCTGGTAATAGCCGTTGCGAGCCCTGTCACGAGCACTGTGCAGGAGGTTGTACTGGTCCAGGTGCGGACAACTGCATTTTCTGCAAAGCCGTCCGAGATGGTCCATATTGCTCTCCCAGCTGTCCATTGGGAAAATACAATAGAGGCGGAATTTGTGAACCCTGTCATGCGACATGTGTCGATGGATGTACTGGACCTGCAGACACCATAGGTACTTATAACTATCACTCATTAAATCCTTGAATGTCATCTTCGATTATTACAATTAATAATTTTCTAGGTCGCAATGGTTGTAATTCTTGCCAGAAAGCTATCATCAACGGCGACGTAACAGTCGAGAGATGTTTGTACGAAACGGAACCATGTCCCGATGGCTATTATTATGAATGGGTTGGACCTCAAGAACAAGGACCTTTGAAATCGTTAGCTGGTAAGGCTATTTGCCGGAAATGCCATCCTAGATGTAGCAAATGCACCGGATACGGTTTTCATGAGAAGGTGTGCCAGCAGTGCGCTGATTATAAAAGAGGTACTTAAATTACAATGAATGTTTAAATTTCTTATTCATATATTTTAATTAATTTGTTATTAATCATTTTTGTATGTGATCAGGTGAACAATGTGAGGACGAATGTCCAATGGATCATTACGCTGACGATGACCGAAAGGAATGTATTCCATGCGATCCTGAATGTAGAAGTTGTTTTGCTGAAGGGCCTGGTGGATGTGTTCAATGCAGAAATTTTAAGGTAATAATAATTACAAAATTAAATAATCTTACCATTTTAAATAAATTATTGAGAATTTATTATCATTTTTATACTTTATAGATTTATGAGGACGGTGGTCACCCAGACAACACTTCAGCTTTTAATTGTACCAAGATTTGTCCACCAGAATTTCCGCATAAAATATTTCCTTTAGACCATGTAGAACCTTATTGTTCTGTTAAACCAATCGAGATGGGTTCCAGATTAGAGGCAGAACAAAATAATGCTTTAACTATAGGTATGTGTTTATAACATGAACGAGTTTAATCAGTTAATTACAAATTATAGTATTTTCACTTTAATTTATCTATTTCAGGAGTGTTTTCCGCATTTGCTTGTCTCTTGCTCGTCTTTGGCTTATCCTTGTGGTACTGCAGGCAAAAAACTCGTGCGAAGGAAGAAGCTGTTAAAATGACAATGGTTCTAACAGGATGTGAAGATAGTGAGCCTTTGAGACCCTCCAATGTGCGCCCGAATTTGGCTAAGCTTCGAATAGTAAAAGAAGCCGAAATGAGACGAGGAGCTATGCTTGGTTGTGGTGCTTTCGGTCGAGTTTATAAAGGAGTTTGGGTCCCCGAAGGAGAAAACGTGAAAGTTCCTGTTGCCATCAAAGTTTTGCGAGAAGAAACTAATGCTAATACAAGCAAGGAGTTTCTAGAAGAAGCTTATATTATGGCTACTGTGGAGCATCCCAATCTTCTGCAACTTTTGGCGGTATGCATGACTTCTCAAATGATGTTGATTACGCAGCTTATGCCTTTGGGTTGTCTTTTGGACTATGTGAGAACACATAGGGAAAAGATTGGTTCTAAGGCTCTTTTAAACTGGAGTACACAAATTGCTAGAGGTATGGCGTATCTGGAAGAACGGAGATTAGTACACAGGGATTTGGCGGCTCGCAATGTCTTGGTGCAAAATCCAAATTGCGTCAAAATTACTGATTTTGGTCTTGCTAAACTTTTGGATGTAAACGAAGATGAATACAAAGCCGCAGGCGGTAAAATGCCTATAAAATGGCTTGCTTTAGAATGCATTCAACACAGGATATTTACTCATAAAAGCGATGTTTGGGCATTTGGTGTCACCATCTGGGAACTTTTGACTTACGGAGCAAGGCCTTATGAAAATATCTCTGCTAAAGACGTTCCTGAACTTATTGAAAATGGTTTAAAACTACCACAACCTGCAATATGTACATTGGATATATATTGCATTTTGGTATCGTGCTGGATGCTGGATGCTGAAGCTAGGCCATCATTTAAGCAATTGACAGAAACTTTCGCTGAAAAAGCTGCTGATCCTGGTAGATATTTGTATATACCGGGAGATAAATTTATGAGGCTGCCGACGTTCACGACGCAGGTAAATAATTTGATTTTGAAATTTTTTTACATCTAAGTTTAGTTTCGATGTTTAAAATTTTATTCATATTTTTTAGGATGAGAAAGATTTAATTAAGAATTTAGCGACAACATTAGATGGTCCAGAACCAGTTGTAGAAGCAGATGAATATTTGCAACCAAAAAGTCGAACAGTTACAGTTTTGCCACCATCGGCTGGACCGCAAGTTGCCCATAATAACCACGAAAATGGACCAGGTACTTATATCTTCAAAAAAAAATTATTACAAATAAAATACATATTTTTTACCACTCACATTTTTAAATTTTGGCATCTCAAGTGTAATGAAATTTGTTGTGTTTGCTATCTATATTAATGAGTTTGATTTTTAATTCTGCAGGAAGTCCAGAATCTTTTATGGGCTCATTGGGACAGAAAAGATATTGCAGTGATCCTTTGAAAGGAGAAACAACTGATGAAGTCGACACGAAACGCGGTGAAGCACATATAGGAAGACTAAAACTGGACTTACCATTAGATGAAGATGATTATTTGATGCCAAGCACTCAAACTTCAGCTTATATGGATCTCATAGGTAAATTTTAGCGATGACTTATATATTTAAATCATTATCATCAACAATGAGTAAATTTAGGATATATTTTATCGGTAAGTTTATATCATTTACAATTTAATCCATTATAGGAGATTCCAAAAATCCTGAGCAACGTGCTTATCCAGATTTCCTGCCTGCAATAGACAATCCCGAGTATCTTCTGAGTTCAGAACCTTATAGTGGACCACCTCCAACGCAGACCTTGGGAATACCTTTAACAGGCCCATTTACACAGACCCCATCTCCACCTTTTTCTCAACCTAGTTCGTTCACACAGACATCTATTGATAAGGTTGATTTAAAACAATCTGTCGACAGTTTGCAGAGACAACAAAGGACGAATAAGGAAGATGAAATTTCTGACCACGAATATTATAATGATGTACAAAGGGAATTACAACCTTTGAGAAGAAGTGAGACGACAGTGTAAATGTTTAAAGACTAGTTTTAGTTTTATATGTGTTTTATACTGACTTTTTATACCAGTGAAGTATTTCTTGTAAATAATTTTTTTATAGATTTTTTTAATGAACGGTTTGAAACTGTTAAAAACAAATTTTTATGCAACAGAAATTTTTATACAACTTATGATGTTCAATACAAGTGCATTATTGAGATTTAAATCGTAACTGATAGCAATTAAATTAATATATTAATATTGTTAAGATCAAAAGTGCCATTATGTTCTGGCAAGTTGTACATACAATTCTAATCGTAACTTAATTATTTCTAAAAAAATAAACTTAGAATGTGTGTGATTAAATAGAGTGCTTAATAAGCTTGATTTTTGAGATAATTAAAAAAACAAATGTGCCTATATAATTTTAGTTATACATTTTTACTTATTCTTGTTAGATTTACTTACTGTTATTATTTTTTATTTTGTACTTAACTTAAAGATTCATATTTATTTTATATTACATACTTACAAATCTTGTTAAGTGATTGAGAAATATTTTTATCAAAGCAATGACAAATGTATGCGAATTGCTAATTTACAAGTTAAGTACATCTTTGAAAAATGTATATGATAGCAATAATATGTATTATGTAATAGATATCTTACAATTGCGTTAGTGCAATCTACTGTGATATAATAATAAGAAGAAAATTTTATCTCTCAGATGTACCTTATGTATAGGACAACTTATATATTAGTTTTAAACTAGGTTTTGCTAGTTATTCTCATTAAATGCCACAAGTCGTCCAGATTACATATATATTTGTAATATTTTGTAATTATATAAATAAAAGCATAAATAATTTAATTTTAATTTTTCATTATATAATTTACGTGCATTTTATTGAATTTATTGAATTGAATTGAATTTTGGACTTTGGACAGAGTTTTCTCTTAAACGGCTGTACAGATTATATTATTATTAAAAATTTTACGATCTTCAACCTTTTTTCAAAAGTTGTTATTTGATGGTGCAACAGTAATAATAATAGTAATTAGTCCTAGTGTATTCTTAAAATTAAAATAATTATATTACTTAGTAATATCTGAGCAAATGTAGTTATCCTAATGATACGTTTTTGGACTTTGTAAAATAATTTACATTTTTATTTCAAATATTGAAAGATGCGCAAAATGCGGCCCTGGTTTTTTTAATTTTTGACAGTTGTGTTACAAAAATCAAACTGTCAAAGAGTGTTACATACAATTTGTCTGTGAATTAAATTCATATATGAAAGTTTTAATTCCACGTGCTAATTTATAAAGAAATATAAAGTTTAATTAATAATTAAAAATACAAATATGTGGCTTCATTGATAAATTATAATCTATAATATGATATATAAATCTAAGATGATGTGCCATTATCAAAAATATCCAGTAAGTACAAATTGATGGTTATGATTCAAATGAAATATTATATAGTTATTATTTCTGTTGATTATTATTTAAAGATTAATTACGCTGTTATTAAATATCAGTGCATAGTTAAAATAATTAAAGATTAATTATTCAGTACAAATTAATACTATCTTCTTGAACAACTTTTTGACATGTGCTACTTACTAAGTAATGTTATTGTATTATTTGTATATTGTAAATTTTTATTACTATTGCATATTATATACTGTTTTTCTATATTGTATATTCTTATTTCAGGTGCTTATAACTCATATTAAAATAAGGAACATAGCAAATTTGAATCAAACTTGACTTATTGATGAATTTAACATGAGGCTCTTCAATCTATTAAATTGTCTTCCCAGAAATATACAGAAACAGAAAAATAGGAATTATACATAGAAGATCATAAGCTTCGAGTAAGTTTAACAACATTTCATATATAATTATTCATAGTATATTATAAATGCAATTTGATTGTCCCATGCTGGTCAGAATATATTCTGACAGTTTAACAGTTTGTTTGATTGCCTGCATTTCTTAGAATATTGCAGCCTTTGTCTCATATCATTCACACAAAGGCTTGTTTTATACCTAAATATTCTGTACACTCTCGACAGTTATAGTTTTAAGTTAGTCTAGACAATGCAGCGAGACAAATATATTTGATCACCGCTGTATTTCTAATGGTTTGAAGATACAATATAGATTCTATATAAAACGCAGTATTTTATTCAGTAATAATAAGATTTGGAATGGTTATCGTTAGATACTGATTATTTTATTACAGTCCGTTTCAAGATTGGTAGCCAGCCAAACCAAACAATAATTGTAGATTTATTGAATATTGATCGGTAATTGATTTTTTTTTATCTACTATTAAAAAAGTAGAAACAACCAATACAGTTAGAATGAATAATAGGAAATTTATATAGTTTGTATAATATATTTGTTATACACGATTATTTCTTATTATAAAAGCATTTATAAAGTTCTAGTAAATTGTCCACTTAAAATAATTCAAAAGAATATCTAGTATCTAGTATGCGGGATAAAGAAAAGAAATTTTAGATGAATTAATTAATTAAAAGTAATTTTAGATAAATTGTTTATTGAATCAGTTTTCTTACTTACAATCCTTTTTGTAACAAAGATCTAATCATTGCTCGAAGTAATAAATATCCAATATTGAATTCTGAAGCTGTAAAAAAGCATTATTGAGTTATTTAATTCATTGTGTATTCATTAATAATTGATAATGTTATATATCTATATTAAAATTACTGAAACAACTGATACGTTTAAATTCGAGTTTAAAATAATAGGAAATTTATATAGTTGTATAGCATATTTGTTATACACAATTATTGCTTGTATAAAAGGGCTCTTATAAAGTACTGGCACATTTCCAATTAAAATAAATAATTGAATATAAAGTACATATATTAGAGAAGTTCTACAGAATAAAAAAACAAAAATACTAAGTGGTATAGAATACTATGCACAATTTAGGTGAATCAATTGAAGTGTTTGAATTGAAATAATTTAGGAAATTCTTTCGAATCAACTTCTTGCAAAGAACCCTCTTAATAATAAAAATTCAAATGAATTCCTACATAGTATGATTTTGAATTTGTTTGTCTAAGCTTGGTCAGTCGAATACTTTGATCGATAATATTTTTTTAAGTAGTACAAAAGTATACTGAGTTTTAGTTT